TCTCGCCGCAGAAAACTGAACTGGTAGTGTTTACTCGAAAGCGGTACCCAGCCCAAATGCATCTTAATCTTTTGGGCAGAAACATTACTCAATCATTGTCTTTCAAGTACCTTGGGGTCTGGTTTGATTCAAAGTGCACTTGGAATGCCCATATTACGTATTTGAAGCAAAAATGTCAGCAGAGGATCAACTTTCTCCGTTCAATTTGCGGCACATGGTGGGGTGCTCATCCGGGAGACCTCATAACGCTTTATAAAACAACTATTCTCTCTGTTCTAGAGTACGGCTCTTTCTGCTTTCTCTCGGCAAGAAAAAGTCACCTAATAAAATTGGAACGAATTCAATATCGTTGTCTGCGTATTGCTCTAGGCTGTATGCACTCAACGCATAACATGAGTCTCGAGGTTCTGGCAGGAGTAACACCCCTCCAGAACCGTTTCTGGGAGCTCTCTCTCAGAATACTAATCAAATGCGGAGTGACGAACACACTTATAATTGCTAATTTTGAAGAAATTCTTGGGTTGAACACACAATCTCGATTTATGAGAATCTACCACCACTACATATCATCAGATATGTGTCTTCCTTGTTATACTCTAGACCGTGTTCACTTCACCAATCGCAGTTCCTCAATTGAATATGATCTGACCATGAAACAAGCAACTCATGGGATTCCCGATCAACTTCGACCTATTATTATCCCACGTATTTTTACTGAAAAGTACCAACAAGTCAATTGCATGAAAAGATATTTTACAGACGGGTTCCGTCTCAATGGATCCACTGGCTTCGGTGTCTTCAATGAAAACTCTAGCGCCTTCCGCAAACTTCAGGAACCTTGTTCCGTTTTTGTTGCTGAGCTGGCAGCAATCAACTTCGCATTGGGGATGATTTCCAATATGCCCACAGACCATTACTTCATCTTCTCGGATAGTCTCAGTTCGATTGAGGCTATTCGGTCGATGAAACAAGGTAGGCACTCATCTTATTTCCTTTCAAAGGTAAGGGAGCAGATGTGTGTGCTGGTCGAAAGATCATATATGATTACCTTTGTATGGGTCCCCTCACATTGCTCAATCCCAGGCAATGAGAAGGCGGACTCTCTCGCAAAGGTGGGCGCGCAGGAAGGCGAATTGTATGACAGGCAAATTTCACACGATGAATTTTACCATTTAGTGCGTCAGAGTACCTTTTCGAGTTGGCAAACCGATTGGGACACTGGAAATCTTGGACGGTGGTTACATTCAATTATTCCTAATGTTTCTTCGAGAGCGTGGTTTAAAGGCTTGGGCTTAAGTCGTGACTTCATTCGCGTGATGAGTAGACTTATGTCCAACCACTACTCGCTAGATGCTCATCTCAATAGAATAAACCTCGTGGACAGCAACATCTGTCGGTGTGGAAACGGTTACGATGACATCGAACACGCAGTTTGGCAATGTACGGATAATGACGCCGCCAGAGAGCGACTTTTGAATACCCTCGAGGCCCAAGGAAGACAACCCTATGTTCCTATCAGAGACGTGTTGGCAACCCGTGATCTCTGCTATATGCAGTCCGTTTATGTTTTTCTTCAAATGTCTAGTATAAGAATTTAATTCCTTTTGTCTTTTGTCTCTCTTTATTAGTTTTTGTTTGTCTTGTCCCCCCGTCTCGATGAGTCTCATCGTCGCCCACTGGTCACCCACCATAGCCGGTCGAACTCCGGACGAAGCTAGAACAGCACTACCGTTCATACTGGCGACAACGCTCTGATGAGACAACGAAACCCTACCCCAAGCTCCTCCCCTGATCCTATCCTTCGAAAATGTACCCTTCTAACCTCGAGTAAGCCGCGAGTAATCGGCCCAACTCCTACTAGACATAGAATTAAGTGAATTTTGTTACACACAGTGAACAATGAATTATCGGCTCCGTAAAGCTAACGCGATTGAGCCTTCCAAATAAACGAACTAGATAAAAAAAAAATATTTGCCCTTACCGTTTCTACTGCTATACTGTTGCTGCTCTGCCACAATAGATGCCGGTCGTACACACCGTCCGTGCGGCGGCTCACTGCTTTCTGCTAATTATTGTTTCCAGTCGTACACACCGTCCGTGTGGTTGTCGTTTACCGATGTGTATTACACGGCTCCTGCTGCTGACTATGGCTCCGATAAAATCAATTTGATATCTTCGAGCGGGTTAAAGATGGACAGTCCGATCGTAGGCTTCGCCAGGATCGGCTGCTTCCTTATGTAATGCGCGAGTCACCTGAGGCACAAAAACTGCTTTCAAAAAAAAAAACTTTTCGCGGTGAAAACACTTTTAAAGCTATGCCATGTGACGAGACAACAGGCCTTGATGTTGCTCATTCGCAAGCAGAACGAGGAATGATTAAAATGAATGAATCTTATTCAAAACCTAAAAAAAAACTATTGTAATATGTGTCGATCCCAAAATAAAAATTACTAGATTTCAAATAAAATTGAAAAAACATGATGAGGTTATGCACATGGTTATGTTAACAGCCATACCACATCGATCAATGTTGATATGGAGACCCCAACAAACAATTTTAGCTGCAGATTAGCTTATACAGCCGAAAATTGGCATATACCGCTAATTTGTGCCTGTATAAGCTAGTCTGCAGCTAAAATTGTTTGTTGGGACGTGACCAACAAAATCAAGGGCATCCGATGCTGGTTATTGGTTTAATACGGTAGGATTGTATTCGGATATGATTTGCAGCCATCGATTTTTATTTTATTTCAATGCTATTTCAATAATTTAGCACTTAAATATCTCATTCTACTTACCAGAGAGATTCTACTTATGCCAGATAAGAAAGAGTTTCCGCTCGGTTATATGTATGGTGATCAGGCAAACTATCCAATGCCGTCTGCGCCACATGCACTTTTGGTACTGCTTTTGTTGTCCCGCTCGTCTGAATCTACCAAACCAGGCGTGATTACCTCCTAATGGTTTCGCAGCGGATTCAGCTATAAGAAAGATGATGTTCCTGCGGATGGAACAATATATTGTTTTGATTGCTTCAATATGTAAAATTGTTCCAACAACTCACCTCAAATAGCAAAATTAATTGATTTAATTCGATTTCCGATGGGATGATCCTTCAGTATTGCATTCTCAGTTTAAATACTGTAAGAAAATTGATAACATTATTTGTTGATGTTTTGCTGGGAGCAACCTATTTTTCATTTTGAAGAAATCTCAATGATTTTGCATTTAAGAATTAGGATTTACTTACCATTCTTACCGGCGCTACTTTTCTGTTCATATTTGCTTTCTGTTATTGAATATAGCAATTACAATAACACGTAAAACAGAGGTTTCTTATCACAAACTTGAAAATATATGCAGTTTGACAGATGATCTCAAGTTCATCACCGCTACGATTACAGCGCCGCGGTGGCCGGCCTAAACTTGGATTTGTCAATTGGTCAGGGACCCAGGCCATTCGTTTTCCATCGCCAGTCATCGTGCCCGTTATGCCGTTCATAATGGCCTTTTTGAAGCCACCTCTCATGGCCGCCTAACATGCTGTTTTACTCCATCTGGTGGTGGGTTTTGTAGGCTTTGGTGGGTGGATGGCTGCGTATTACGGTATTGCCACAGACACTCGCAAGTTGTGCATCGAACATGCATTTAACGGTAAATTTAAAAGTATCGTAGTTGGTAGTACCACCACCTGTGGCGCGCATAGTCAATTCCCTTGCATTTGACGTTTACACACCACCGCCATCTGTTCTGCGTACTACCGACCATAATGTACTCAACAGATGGCGGTAATGTTTTAGCGACGATGTTTTACAGTGAGAAATATTCAATGTGTTATGTCTGTTTGTCTGTGGTATTACGGCTGCTCTACTCTGGCCTACCACGGAGATTTACTGATGGAGAAAAACTGCACACATATATGAAAACTACCTGCCATGAATTTTCAACATATTAACGAGTACTCTACACAATATTCTAAAAATTACTCTACACTGAGACGCGAACACTCACAAATCCAATCTAAAAGTCATCTTACAACCAAATGAGCTGTAACTTTCAGAGTTTTTTTTATAGTCACTTTAACGCTCTTGGGTCATTCGTGACTTTTCCGGGGGTGAGATTTGAACTCGTGACTTTGGCGTGAGAGATATGGATGCTAACCACTACGCCGAGGTCACCCCCACTTTCAAAGAGTAGTTTCTCACCTAAAGGAACATATCTGGGGGTTAACCCGTAGAAAATTAGAACTTTTATTTGTTTTTTTGCCAGTCTTTTGCAACACGTTACAATAATTATCGACGCATGCAATGTTTGCGCTATGGACTTATAACATGCTACGAAGCTATTGCGCATTTCACATCAAACTGGACTACTAAGCGCGTTTTCACTTATTAAAAAGTGTGATAAAAGTGCGAGTTTACGTCTAATCGTATTGGTGTTTTCGGTGCACTTATTTCTTGTGATGCAAGCAATAAGTGCTCCGAAGACACGAAAACAATTTGACGAAAACGTGCACTTTTATAACACTTTTTTTTGCATTTTTGGGGCAGTCCAATTTCAGATGCAATCAGCAATATATTGTTGATGTTTTTTTGTCAATAACAATTCATGTTCATGAAAACTGTGAAAACTATCGTATGTACACTTTTTTCGTGCACTTATAATAATGCCTACTTATTTTAGCACACTAACACAATCACACTAAAGCAATCAGAGAGATCGCTAGATAAGAATAAAAAATTCACCATGGAAAAAAAAACAATGGAAAAATAACCAATATGGGGCAACTGGCGCAACATTCTTATCCATTCATTTTGTTCCCAAAATCTACCTTTCACTTCGTTTGTACTATACTATATATTTATGTTTTTATCATAGAAAAAATACATGTTTCCCCGGTGTACGTTATTTTCAAATGTTGATCCCAGTGTAATTGTTTTTCATCATTGGTAATAATGTAAAACCATGTAGCAAAATACTGAACAACATTTTGATTTCAGAAATTGAGTCATCGCGATCACATGGGAAACGAATTCGCTTACACGATGTCCGGACTGGTCAATATAAATGGAAGGAGAATAACGGAACCTGGTTGAATAGTGAGCAATTAGATGCGCGCTATAGAATATAACGTGTTTCTATTATAAACAAATTTGATACATTTTTGATCATTACAGAATCCGAGTACGTATTTATAAACACAGATGGAGGACTATCGTTGTTGCACATTGACGGAGGACGTAACCTGAATTTGAGATTGTTGATGAACAACTCAACATTTGTAAGTATATTTCAACTTTTGTAAGTATAACTCAACTTTTGTAAGTAGATTTCTCCTTAGCTCGGATCACAATTTGGTTGCGATCTGGACTTGCGGGAGAACTTTATAATTTGTATGGGAAAATGTATAGGAGTGTGGCTTGTAGTTTGAAATTGGCACTAGGTAGGGTTAACACAAACATATAAACCTTAATAATCTCCGTTAAAAGCAAGAATTGAGGTATAGTGTACAACATTTTTTGGTCCTCTGTCACCCTGTTTCGGATTGACCATGAGCTACCAGTCACCCTAAATCTACGCCTGTAGGTATGCACGGAGCACTTGGCCTAAAGTTATTAAAAGTTGAGACCTTTGAGACTACAGAGTTATGACATGTTATAACGGTTGTCAAATCAGTCCGCATCGTGCTCTCTTGCCGTGTGGATCTATTTGCTTTTTGCTGAAGGAAGTGTTACTACTACCTAAAGCTACAACAAATTTTAACAGCACTTTTCAGTGCTCAATATACCTGTAAATTTTCTACCTTGTTTGACTCTTATTCCTCTTCTATCGTTGTTTGGACCCTACCCGAGGTAATCATTCTTGAATATCGATTTGGAAAATTCCTCTTCGATCCATCAGATTCTTATAGTAATCTGCTTGGAAGTCGATTTGTATAATAAAAATTACTGCCGCCATGGCGCCTAAGCGCAAAAGAAAGGGCAATCTTTTGATCCCCCTTCTGATGAAATTAATTTGAGCAATCAATTTGATTTACTCTAGCGGCGCCGGTGGTGTAGTGGTAAGCGTGATTACCTCTCACCCCAGCAGGTCTGGGTTCAATTCCAGTCGGCGCCGCCGGGATGTTCTGAGGCATAACATCTCTGATCACGCCTTCCTTCGGAAGGGAAGTAAAGCCGTTGGTCTCCGGTTCATGAGTTGATGAGTCGATAGGTAGGGTCCAGGTGTAGGAGCTGCCTCCCTGGCGTCGGTAGCATTGGTGCTCAGCACGGAAAACAAGATCGACGGAAAACAAATCAAAGGAAAAAAAAAAAAAAAAAAAAATTTGATTTACTCACGGATCATGAGAATGATCCATCATCCAGGACAAATTCTAGTCAACTTTCCCGGAAGGAAAAGATTTCTCCTATTGTGATAACCACTTCCGATTTCCATGCTCTTCGCACGGAACTTTTGAACTTGGTGAAAGTTAGGTTTTCACTGCAAATTGGCCGTCGGGGTGAATGTCGTGTATTGGCTGAAACCTTGGACGAATTCAAATGTCTTCTCAAATATCTTACTGAGTAGCAGCATAGTTTTTTTTACTTACGACACCAAAACTGAACGTGTGTTCAAGGTTGTCATGAAAGGACTGCCCAGTGGTGAATCCCTAGATCAGATCAAAGATGAACTGGCAAAATTACTTGGAGTTGTGCCATTCCAAGTAATCAAAATGAAAATGAAAACCCATCCTGGTGATTCGCGCAACGGGATTTCTAGTGATTTTTATTTAGTTCACTTCAAGTCTAGTGAACTAAACAACCTTAAGTCCTTAGAAAAAGCTAGCCTTATGCTCCATGTCCGAGTGAAGTGGGAACACTTCAGGAAGACTGGAGGAAATTTCCAAAACCTCACCCAGTGCCGTAAGTGCCAGGGATGGGGTCACGGAACAAAAAATTGCTACATGCCAGCTAAATGCATGAATTGTGGTGATTCCTCTCACACAAAGGACGACTGTCCTGTGAAGGAAGATCTTAAGAAATTTAAATGTCAAATTGTGGTGAAAACCACAAATCCAATTTTTGGGAATGTAAGACTCGCAAAGCATTCCTACAATCTCGTTCTAAGCGACAGGTATGAAACGCTCCACGTTTCCAAACAGGTAAAAATTCCTCTGCTGTTAACAACGGTCAGCGAGGAACAAATTCTACATTCGGACCCGTAGGTACCAATATCACCCCTGCTCCAAATTCTTCATATATACCTGCTCCCCTCGCTGCTAACAATGTTCAGCGAGTAAATGGAGCTACCTATGCTATGGTAGAAATCAAAATACTAGCCAACGTAATTCTAACGGAAATTTTAAAAATTTTGTCTTAGGAAGCATTACTGCTCCTAAAATGGATTTTTTACAGATATCATTATTTGACATGATTACTGATATGCTAAAAACATACTCCATGTTTGAGGCTATTCAAACTGGAGTAAAATTTGCGAACAATATTGTCATGACTTTGAAATTCAGTAATGGATTTTAAATCATTAAATATTGTAAATTGGAATGCTCGATCTCTTAAAGATAATGGAGACGAGTTGTTCCATTTTTTAAAGAGTTCATAACGTGCATATTGCCGTTATAACTGAAACGTTCCTTAAACCTGACCATAAGGTTAAGAAGGACGCAAATTATTTCATTTATAGAAATGATCGTCTTGATGGACCCTGTGGTGGCGTTGCCATCATTGTTCATAGACGAATCAAACATACAATTTTTTCTTCATTTGAAACTTTGGGAGTTTCTGTAGAAACAAAAAAGGACAACTTACGTTTATAGCTGCATATTTTCCATTCCAATGTATAGGCCAAACAAAAGAATTTTCTCAAGGGTGACCTTCAGAAACATACCCGTCATAAGTCTAAATGCTTAATTATTGGTGATTTTAATGCAAAACACCGCTCATGGAATAATGCTCAAAGCAATTTCAATGGTAATATTCTGTTTGATGATTGTTCTGCAGATTATTACACTATTCAATATCCAAACAGCCCAAAATGCAAGAATCATTCCGCAAGAAATCCCTCAACTATTGATTTGGTCTTAACTGATTCATGTAAACTTTGTAGCCAATTGGTTACTCATGTTGACTTTGGTTCTGATCCGCCAAGAAATAATATCTAATCCCAACAGCTCTACTTTCAATTACCATAGAGCTTTGGGAGCAATATCGATCATTTATAGAATATAGCTGCGATCCAAACATTCCTTTGCAAACCAAAGATGATGTTAATTATGCTCTTGAATATCTGACTACTTCTATAGTTGAAGCATGAGCTGCCTCAGTACCACAATGCGAGGTTAAATTCGATTCAATTATAATAGACGCTCTTGATCCGCCTTAAAAAGTCCGTAGGAGACAGTATCAAAGAACACGCGATCCTTCCATGAAAGTTATCCGGCGGGATTCGCAAAAACAAATAAACAAGTGATTCTCTGCCCTGAAAATAATGTTTCGAAATTAGACCCGAGTTCCAAACCCTTTGGAAACTCACAAATTTTTTGAAAAAAAAACCTCAAAAGCCTATGCCAAGGTGGTAAAATTTTGATCACAAATTCGGAAAAAGCTCAGAAACTTGCTAAGCAATTCGAGAGTTCCCATAATTTCAGTTTGGGTCTTACTATTCCTATTGAGAATCAGATTGCTCGGGACCATCTGAATATTTTCTCTCGGGAAAATATTTTTGATGATTCCTGGGGGACTGATTTGGGCGAAGTAAGATCTATAACTAAAAAGTTTCATAATATGAAAGCTTCAGGTGATGATGGAATTTTCTATATCCTCATCAAAAACTCCTATAGAGTACATTGTCTTTCTTGGTAAAATTATTTAACAAATGTTTCCATTTGGTATACTTTCCTGGTAAATGGAAAAATGAAAATTTGTTCCAATTTTGAAGCCGGATAAAAATCCAGCTGAAGCTTCTAGCTACCGTCCAATAAGTTTGCTTTCTTCAATAAGTAAACTTTTTGAAAAATAATTTTTAAATAGAATGATGGTTCACATCAATACGAACTCAATTTTTGCAGATGAGCAGTTTGGATTTCGCCATGGGCATTCACTACTCATAAACTCTTAAGATTTACCAATTTAATTCGTTCAAACAAATCTGCTCAACTGGAGTTGCTCTTCTGCACGGAACCGAAAAATTACCCAAAATTAAGTTCTTTTCACTCATCTCCCATGTTCCTTTCAATAAGCTAATTTTCAGTAAACCGCTTATAGTAGTTTACATTTGACTACGGCAAAAATAATTACTTACTCGTGAATATTTTCCACCCAAAATTAAGTTCAATTTACTTAAATTTGAGAATATCTCATATACTCACTAGTGGCTTATTGAACGCTAGTCATGAGAAATTCGAGTCACTCGTTCCGTTTTTAACAACAACAAAAAGTGAGAGTGGGATGCAAAAACCAAAATTACTCAAAAGTAAGTAAAAAGAATTTAAATTTAGTGTATTTTTTTCTCTGTGTAGACATAGAAAAAAGTATTCGACAGTGTTTGGCATGAAGGTTTGATTGCTAAATTGAAAAAGTTTAATTTTCCACTCTATATTATGAAATTATCTCAAAATTATTTAACTGACAGATCTCTGCAGGTAAATTATCAAAATTCCAAATCTGATCGACTACCTGTTAGAGCAGGAGTTCCTCAAGGTAGCATTCTTGGGCCTATATTGTATAACATTTTCACTTCGGACCTCCCTGATTTGCCTTAAGGTTACCACAAATCTTTGTTCGCTGATGACACAGCCATTTCCGCTAAAGGAAGAAGTCTTCGTGTTATTTGCAGCAGAAAAGTTTAGATATTTTCTCTTCTTATTAACAAAATTGGAAGATTGCTCCTAACGCATCCAAAACTCAACTAATAATATTTTCACATAAGCCTAGAGCTTTCTTTATTGAAACATAGTAGTAGTCACATAGTCACTATGAACAGAATTCCAATTTCCTGGTCAAACCAAGTGAAATATCTTGGATTAGTACTTGACCAAAAATTAACTTTTAAAGATCACATTGAGGGGATTCAAGCCAAATATTACAAATATATGAAATGTTTGAATCCTCTTATAAACAGGAAATGCAAAAGTTTGCCTTGACGAATAAAATTCTAATATTTAAAATTTAATTTTTTTTATTTAAACAAGTTTTTAGACCGACCATGCTTTACGCTATGTCTAGTAGTTGCACTACCAGGAAAAAAGCACTTCAAAGGATTCAGAACAAAGTTCTGAAGATGATT